ACTTGTAGTGATGTTATCATTTATGTAATATTCTTCCTATGTTAATTAAGGATCTGTATGGTTCTAGGAGCTCTGGTGGTGTAGTGCCTCAGGCATTTGACTGCTAACCAGAAGACTGGAGGTTCAAACCCACCAGCCACTCCTTGGAAGGAAGGTGGGGCAATCTACTTCTGTAGACTTACTGCCTCAGAAACCCAAGGAGGGGTTGCTATGAGTCAAAATGACTCAACAGTAGTGAGGTTTTTGTTTGTTTGTTTGTTTATGGTTCTATTAATTTCCTTTTCTGATACTTTTAAAGCTATTTTAAAAAAACAATCATTGGTTCAGGGTTGATTTTACAAAACAGAAGAAATCTAAAATGTTACCTGAAGTTAAATGTTGTATTTCTCAATGAAATTTTAGTTTTATTAAACATATAGATAATTTCTTTTTTCTCTTATAAAAGCTGATTACTGTGTTAGAGATGAATTGTTCCAGGAATTTTGATTCACTTCATAGTTAACAAATTGATGGAAAATATAATGATTTTTTTCCCTACAAGCTTGGGAGATCAAATAGTGAAGAAAACTTTATAATGCAATTTAACTACATTTTGGAATAGACCTGCCCAGGCATGGATTTACATTAAGACTGTATTTCACATGTTGTCAAAGGTTAATAAAGCGGGCAATGGAGACAATCTCTGCAGGTTCAGACCCATGTTCTTCAGACCCAGTGTTTTCTGATTCAACGTGTCATCTCAGGCAAATGACTTAACCTCTTTGAACCAAATTTCTAAATCCATAAAATAAAATTCAATATCTCTAAGTACAGGGTCAAAGTCATGATTATATGAGATGTTAAATGTAAAGGACTTAGTTTTACATTAAGTGTTCAATAAAAGTGGGCTATAAAATGATTAATTATCAATATAAAAATGTATTTGGAAAAGCATCCATGTCCTTCAAAGAATCTGAAGGTGACCATGATGGCCAATATTATAAAAATATCAGGTATTGTATTCTCTAATTAAATATACTTTCATACATACATCCTTGTGGCTCTTGGGTGTTTTTATGCAAGCAAATTGAATCTATTTAATCAGAGGGAAGTAGAGACACTATTCACTTGCTTCTCTTCTAACTTCGATTATCTTTCCTGAGGAAGTAAAAGATCCCTGGCCACAAAGGTTTCTAGGGAAGGTCTACTACATTCCATAGCTTGAATACCAGAATGCATAAAGAAAAACTCACAATAATGTTGCTTAGGACATCAAAACTTTATTGAAAAGAACAGAAATCATGAAGAATGTTGCTTTATTTCCTCCGCCTCTGTCTTCTTCAGTTTTGATGCCAGCTACTCTAAAGGTGTTATAAACAGCCTCACTACACCTGTCTCTGAACTGATCCTAACAAAAGCAGAGTTTGTATAAACAGTCATCACCATCATTTTTGCTCTTCTCTCAATCTGAGCTGGTAAGATCAAGCCAGAAAGTCTGCTTCCTCAAATTGATCTCCTCACCCCTCCCTTGTCTCATCTTACTTACCCCACCTCCAGTCTGCTGGGAGTATCCTAGAATTTCACACCACTTTACTTTTAAAAAAGAACTGCCTTGTACCTGTTTTCCCTTTTGCTTAAAAAAGTGAAAACTAGCATTCAGTGAAAATTCAGTGAAAGAAGCAGCATGCACCTAGAGCTTCAAGAGTGGCATCCCCAAGCTCCTTCCCTGTAAACTACACTGTACGTTATTTTTCCTTTACATAGACTGTTTATTCATCATGTCATTTACCATATGTTAATGTTATTTTAGGTGTTATGTGTTATTTGGTATGATTCAATAGGTTGTATTTTGGGTCTGAGAAGCTCAAAAGTTTTCCCAGTATAAAATAGTTGTAATTACTTCTTCTCTTTATGTCATTTTAGCTTTTAAAAGGTTTCACAGGAACACTCTAATTTTGGATAGCAGGGAAAAGCTGTATATCTCTGTGGGTAGTTCCTTTAGCATAGTGGCTAAGACACTTGCTTGCTAACCAGACAGCTGGCGGTTCAAACCCACCAGCCACTCCTCGGAAGGAAGGTTGGGCAATCCTACTTCCGTAGTGATACTGCCTCGGAAACCCAAGGAGGGGTCGCTATGAGTCGGGGCCAACTCGACGGCACATAACAACAACAACAACAGTTCCTTTACATCTACCTATTTCACTTCAGTGGCCCTCAAACCCAGGAGCACACCACAATCAGTCATGCAGCTTTTAAACATAAAAACCTCAGAATCCACTCCAGAACTGCTAGATCTAATACTCAGGCCTGACATCCATATCAGTGTGTATTTAAATGTTTTTACTCTACCTCCCACACTGGTAAGATCCAGAAACCTGAGTTTCTCCCTAGATGTCAAGACTTGTCCCACCCGTAGCTACAATTCCATTATCACTGTCACCACTCCTCGACTAAACTGTAGCTTATAAATTATGCTACTCACTAGGACTCTAATCTCATTTTGCCAGACATGGGGTCTTGCCACAAATGAACATTTCCCAGAAAAATCCTTTAGACTTTCTAAAATTAACTAACATTGTGTTGGATGTCCCCAACCACCAGATTAGCTAGGCTACTATTGACAAGCAAAAAACTAAAACGCCATGGTCTTGGGCAACGGACCTTGTTTAACTAGCATCCTCCAGGGCCATTCTCTGAAGATAGATCAGTCCTCAAGACTCCATCCTGGCTTTAGAAACTAAATCTTTAGTTATTATTAGTTTTTTCTCACGTCTATTTTGGGTCTATGTGCAGATAATCCATTCTGCCTCATGTACAAGCAGTTTAGACACTATAATCCAACCCCATTTTCAATACTCAAGCTCCTGTTTGTCCGACACACTGAAGAGTTGAGGGGGTTTCTGTACTTTCAGAATTCTTTGAGGGGTCCTTCCTTCACATTTTTGTTACTACTTACAGACACGGTGAACTTATAAATACAGGTTGTCCTAGATGTTTCATCTGTTTCCTTATGTAGCATAGTGCCTAAGGCACTTGACTGCTAACCAGATTGCTGGCAGTTCAAACCCACCAGCCACTCCTCGGAAGGAAGGTTGGGCAATCTACTTTCGTAGTGATACTGTCTCGGAAACCCAAGGAGGAGTCACTATGAGTAGGGTCCAACTTGATGGCAAACAACAACAACAATGCTGGAAAATGTAAATTCTCTATTTAAATGTCAAATTAAAACTTTCTAATGAGCGTGTCAAACTTTCCCTCCCATTCTTATACTGGCAGCCACATACATTATTTATTTTTTCTTATATACAAGCATGCATTAATTCCTATTGGAGAATACAATTACAAATAAATTAATCCTTGTCTTTGAATCACACAAATTCTGATAGCCACAACAATTAAATGTTTTGGTACTTGCTGTTGAGACAATTCAGATTTATTGCAATCGCATGTGTGCATAGTAAAACTGCTCTGTAGGGGTTTCAATGCCATGACCTTTAGGAAACGAATTGCCAGGTCTGTTTTTCAAAACTATGCGTAACTGAAAATTGTAGTGGTTGATATTTCCAGGGAACATTGGTTAAGTGCTCAGCTGTGAACTGAATGTAGGCAGTTTGAAATCATTTGCCATTCCCTGGGAGAGAGATGTGGCCATCAACACCATGAAGAATTATAGACTATTGTTGTTATTAGGTCATCTACAGCTCATAGCAACCCTATGCACAACAGAAGGAAACACTGCCGGGTCCTGTCCAGCCCCAAGATCCTTGCCATGAATGAGCCCATCATTGTAGCCACTGTGCAAATCCATCTTGTTGAACACTTTCCCCTTTTTTGTTGACCTTCCGCTTTACCAACCATGATATCTTTCTACAGAGAATGGTCCCTTGTGACAACATAACCAAAGTAGGTGAGATGAAGTCTGGCTATTCTTGTTTCCAAGGAGCATTCTGGCTGCACTTCTTCGAGGACAGATTTGTGCTTTTAGCAGTCCATGGTGCTTTCTGTATTCTTTGCCAACACCACAACTCAAAACCATACACTCTTCTTTGGTATTCCTTATTCATTGTCCGGAGCTCTAGTGGCATAGTACCTAAGGCATTTGACTGCTAACCAGAAGGCCGGCAGTTCAAACCCACCAGCCACTCCTCAGAAGGAAGGTTGGACAGTCTACTTCCATAGTGATACCACCTTGGAAACCCAAGAAGGCCAAGAAGAGGTTGCTATGAGTCAGATCCCACTCCACGGCTGTGAATTTCATTTGTGCATATTCATTGTCCAGCTCTCACAGGCATAAGAAGCTATTGAAAATACCATGGCTTAGGTTAGGCTCACCTTAGTCTTCAAGGAGACATCTTTGCTCTTCAGCACTTGAAAGAGGTCTTTTGCAGTAGATTTGCCCAATGCAATACATCGTCTGATGTCTTGACTGCTGCTTCCCTTGGTGTTGATTGTAAAACCAAGTAATATGGAGTTTCTTACAACTTCATTCTTTTCTCCATTTATTGTGATGCTGCTTGCTAACTGGCCCAGTTGTGAGAATTTGTGTTTTCTTTATATTGAGGTGTAATCCACACCGCAGGCTGTAGTCTTCAATATTTATCAGTAAGTGCTTCAAGTCATCCTCACTTTCAGCAAGCAAAGTTGTGTTGTCTGCATATCATAGGTTGTTAATGATTCTTCCTCCCATACTGATGCCAGATTCTTCTTCATAAAGTCCAACTTCTCGGATTATTTGCTCAACATACAGATTGAATAAATACTGTGAGAAGATACAACCCTGATGCAATCCCTTCCTAATTTTAAATCATACAGTGTCCCTTTGTTCTGTTTTATAGACTATGTATTCTTTACATTTTTTATCTTCAAAATAGATTTCACAATATAAGCTAAGCATAGCAATTTAGCATAATTTTTTTTGAAAACTAGTTTGAAATGTCTCTAAGAAATCAACAGTCTAGACGACATTAAGAGTCATGACAACTGTTTAGTGTGTAATAATCTATATTTTGCTTTTCATTTAGTGTAAACCAAGGACTTTCCATTGAATTGAGCTTTGATTCTTTTAATACATATTACACAGATGTATTAAATATTTATGAAGGCATAGGATCAAACAAGATTTTAAGAGGTAAGATTTGTAAGAGGTAAGTTACAACAAATAAATTCCATTATGAAAATGAAAATATATGGGAACTTAAATGGTGTGATATGTTTTCCTTTCGATTTTGAACTGAAGAGGGACTTAACTGTCAAGCCACTAAAAAGAATAAGTGAAAATTGTCCTAAATATAAAAACTTAAAACTTCAGTGCTTTATGTAATTATTATATGATTAGAATGCAGAGAATATCAAACAATATTGTTAATATCACATGGAAGTAAAATTTTGCTGAAGATAATTAAAAATTAATTCCCACAATATGTTGACAGGAAATGGCCAGAGGTTCAAGTTAGATTCAGAGCAGGACATGGAACAAGGGATATCATTGTTGATGTCAGATGGATCTTGATTGAAATTAGAGAATACCACAAAGATGTTGACCGGTGTTTTATTGACTATGCAAAGACATTAGACCTCATGGTTCATTACAAATTATGGATAACATTGCAAATAATAGGAATTCCAGGCACTTAATTTTGCTCATGTGGAACCTGTATATTGACCAAGAGGTAGTCATTTAAACAGAGCAAGAGGATGTTACATGATTTAGAATCAGGAAAACTGTGGATTAGGGTTACATCCTTTACCATCCTTATTCAATAAGTGTACTAAGCAAATAATCTGTGAAGCTAGACTATATGAAGAAGAATGTGGCATCAGGACTAGAGGCAGACTCATTAACCACCTGCAATATGAAAGCAAGGCTGACATGAAGCACTATACCAAAGACTATATCCTTCAATATGAATTATAATACAACATAAAAAAAAATAAATCCTCACAACGGGACCAATAAACTACATCATGATAAATGCAGAACAGATTGAAATTGTCAAAGATTTTATTGTACTTGGATCCACAATCAATGTCTGTGGAAGCAGTCATCAAGAAATCAAGCTATATATGTCACTGAGCAAATGTGCTGCAAAAGATGTCTTTAAAAAGCTAAGATGTTATGCTGAGGAGGATTATGGTAAGCCTGACCCAAGCCATGGTATTTTTCAGTCACTTCATATGTGAAAGCTGGACAATGAATAAGGAAGCCCAAAGAATAATTGATGCATTTCAATAATGGTGTTGGTGAAAAATGTGAAATCTACCAAAGAATGCCAGAAGAATTAATAAATCTCTTTTGGAAAAAAGAAGAATGCTCCTTGGAAGTGGTGATGATAAGACTTCATCTCAAGTGCTTCAGATATGTTATCAGGAGGGATGAGTCCTTGGAGAAGGCTATCATGCTTGGTATAGTAGGGGATCAGCAAAACAGAGGAAGAGCTTCAATGAGATAGATTGACACAGTGACTACAATAAGCTCGAGCATGGTAAGGATGGTGCAGAACCAGGTGGTCATGCAGTCTGTTGTACCTAGGGTCACTATGATTCACAACCAACTTGAAGTCACCTCATTACAACCAAGTGATTTTTCTAGTAATAGTATAATTACTATTTCACATAGTACTCTTTTTTAAATTAATCTTTTTTTAAAAATGTAGATTTTTCCAGAAATACAACTTCATCTTTTCTTAACATGTATTGTTTTAATGTTACTCCTCAATGAACAAAATTCAGGAAAACCTTAACAACTGTTCTCTATGTCTGCAATACCCCATAGGCTATCAACTCACTATGCTTGTTCACAATGTGTACACTACTCCTGTTTCTGGCACAACTGTTATGATATTGCTGATAAATTATAAAATAGCAACTAACAAAGGATAGAAGATTGGAAAATGAGTGGTATCATTATTATTACATAACCATTTATTATTAGGACATGAGCACTATCAAAGGCCAGGTTCTCTAGAAGAATAGTGAAATATATATAGAGAGAGATCATATAAAGCTCACTGCCATTGAATTAGATCCAACTCATAGCAACCCCTCCTTGGGTTTCTGAAGTGGTATCACTACAGAAGTAGATTGCCATAGTTCATAATTAAATCATAGAATCATTAGGCATTTTAATGATACAATTTATACACAAATAATTACCATGAAATAAAATTAAAAATTAAACATCCACAATGAAAAAAATCTGTAAGTCTATTTAAATTACAATAAGTACGAAGTTGTTAAATTTTAAGGCTTTTTTGAAATATGATTCTATTTTAAAGTGTTTTTTTAAATTACTTAATTTTCACTTAAAAATATTAGAATAAGTATTGCCCATTAAAACTTGCTTTTAAATTTAAAAAATGAACTTTTTCTTAAGACACTAGTTCTTATCCCAGCATTTATCAGATTGTCTGGTATATGTTAAAAACTCAGTAAGTGTTTGTTGAATTAAATATAAGGTAACAGACTTATATTTCTATCATTAATATCAATGTATCAAAGTATATAATCAATAGAGACAATATATTCTCTATAAAACTAAAGTTATTTTGTATTGAAATAATGGCAATACTTTCATTTCTGTTCACAAGCCCACTGTTCTTTTTTCCCCTAAAATTTTCAGAAAATCCTTTCATGTGAGTGATGCTTACAGTATTTACTTTCATTAAATGCTAATTCAGAACATATAGTTCAAATATTGTTATTATCTTTATCACATTTAAAATACATAAATATTTTATTTCAATTAAGGGTAATAGGATTATCAGAGAAACAACAAGGAAATAAAAGAATTCATTATCGCAATATACATGTCATTTGTTTGCTTAGGGGTAAATCAGCAAATTCTAAGTAAACAAATTCTAAGAACATTTCCAGTCATTTTTATATAAATCACTCATGTAAAAGTCTCTTAATAGTAGGAAGTGATAAAGAAAGGCAGGCATAATGTAAAGAGGGGTGATACAGAGTGCAATAGAGGCTTCTCCAGATGATAAAGGGAATTGAAGTATGTCAGAATAAGTTTATATAAGAATTAGTTAAAAATTATTTAATTTGCAGTGATGAAGGTGCAATATCCAATTCAATAATGGTAGTAAATATCAATACTGGATATGAAGAAGGTGGAAGATGGTCAGCAAGGTCATTTAAATTTTTTTTCTGTTGTTCAGAAAAATATATAAGTATTTATATACAACCTCAAAAATGGCATAAAAATAGCCTGAATAAGCACAAACTGGTTCCAAATTGACAAGCACAGAAAATGTGTTTTCCCAAATAAGTAGTTGTTATGACATTTTTTACATTCTCAAACGCTTAGCTAGTATTCCATTCCCAGAGTACTGCCAACTACAATGTAACTATGGTTTAAAACTATGCCTTCAGAAAGCAGTAACAATGTAGGTACAAGGAGCTCTTGTGGTGCAGTGGTTATGGCATCCGGCTGCTAACCAAAAGATAGGAAAGATAAGGCAGTCTTCTTCCTTTAAGGTCTACAACCTTGGAAAACATATGGGGTACTTGTACTCTGTCCTATAGGGTCACTATGAGTCAGAATCGACTTGATGGCATTCCGTTTGATTTGGTTATATAGGTATACAAAAGTGTGCACAGTTATACCCAGAGGTATATAAAAAACAGTGGGTCTTCTTAATTATTGTTTTTTCTTAAAAGGCATTTTTCCTACAACAAATATGATTATATTGTAGATAAGATATGAAAATAATATGCGCAAATATTTTTCCATTTTAACCATTTTCAGTAAGCCTCATTCTTTCATTTCACCACTTTTGGGTAAACTCAGTAGTATACATTCAGTCACCTCTGTTGATAGCGGTACATTACATGGAAAAATCTAACAAGCAGAGGCTCTCAAAGATTCTCCAATAACAGTGCTTACTATAATTATTTCTTCCACAGAACTCCCATGGCAGTGTTCCCATATCAAACAATTCCACAATTAATTTTCTTTAGAACTGTGAATTATTCTAATAAGTGAATCATGATTAGTTCTTCAACATATCACCATCACTAGGTACCAGGTCAACCTCACAATGGCCACTCAATGAGATATGTTGAATATATTAAAATTATTTATAACAAGCCAAATAAAAACTGTAATATAAAATATCTACTTTTAAAAATATGGTAAAATAAATGTTTTGAACTAAATCTATTGAATCATACAAAGTAGAAGGTCCAGCATTCCTGCCCATTATTCTTTTTCCAAATCCCCCTGAATCTTAACCATGCCTCCTTGTTTTCTTGCTGAAAAACCTATTCATCAGAACCTTTGTTATTAAAACACAAATGATGATCTTATTGAGCTAATTCACACTTAAATGCAGTTGGCAAGTTCATATAAATTAGTAGCCATAGAAAGGTTGGTCTTGAGTTTTCTTAAAGAATTAATGTTAAAAATGTATGTCTGCTGTGGAAAAACCTAGCTTCAAAATTATTTGTTGCTGTTGCTGTTATTTGCCATGGAGTCGGCCCTGACTCATAGCGACCCCTCCTTGGGTTTCCAAGGCAGTATCGCTACGGAAGTAGGAATGCCCAACCTTCCTTCCGAGGAGTGGCTGGTGGGTTTGAACCGCCAGCCTTCTGGTTAGCAGTCAAGTGCCTTAGGCACTATGCTACCAGAGCTCCGTATTGTTTTATTTTTGTACATAACTCTGGCTTTTTATATAGCCAAATGTGATTATTTACTCACTTGTCAAATATTTATTAAAAATTTCTAAGTTTTGTGCAATGACAGAGGAACAAAAAGATTAAGTCAAAATCTCTAACTTTTAAGAGTTCACAAATTTCTGCCTTTGGGGTGATACTAAAACAATATGTAGTATTCATTGAGCACTTAGTATACACCAGTTATTGTATCACATAGAGATTATATATTTACTGCCTATCACAAATATATGTGGGGAGTACTATTATATTGAGGAGACCTGGTGGTACAATGGTTAAGCTCTCTGCTGCTAACCAAAATGTTGTCTGTTTAAGTACACACAGTTGCTGCAAGGGAGAAAAATGTAGCAATATCCATCTGTAAAGATTACAGCCTAGGAAACTCTATGGTTAAATTCTTCTTGGTCAGATGAGGCTGTTTTGAGTCAGAAACAACTCAATGGCACCCAACAACAATACTATTATATATTCTATTATATATATTAGAATATTTAATATTATATTATGATAAAGAAACTTAGGCACAGAGAAACTTACTAAGACATGGCATCAGGAATGATTGCCATACTATTCTGGAGCTTTCACTCTCAACTGATATCCTCCACTACATTCCTAGATACCTAAGATGCACATCTCTCATTGGATCTGTGGTTCTGGAATGTTTTTGAGCCAAGAAGACTTAAATAATCTGTTGAAAGTTTTACAAACTCCCATAAACACAAATATTCCACACCATTTCCAGAGGTTTTTATTCATCTCTGAGTCCTATTAATGAACCCCAGGACATAAACTCCTGAACTATGTAGATTACGGCAGTGAACATTAGACAATGGGAAGATTACACACATTGCAACTATCAAGGCTACCACTGAACAACTGTCACATTCAGATTCAAGCACAAGCCATTGTCTTCCAAAATTCCACTGCTATGGAAAAGAAAAAAAGCAAGAGAGAGAGAAGTAGATAAATTTAAAGCAGATTTAGAATGTTCATTTCCTAAGTGAGTAGATATTATAAACCAGAAAAGTTTTCATTCAATGTGAGAACTATTTGGGATACACAGTTACCTATACTGGTGAGAGGGGTTGAAATAACCTGAGAAAATACTGAACAAATGTCACAATATTTTTGGAGAAAACACTGAGGTGTAACTCAACATTTGTTAAATATGTTCTTGCTGTTTGATTCTGCTAAAATTATTTTGAGTGTCTCATATTTTGGGGGCAAATTTTGGCATGAGAATTACAGAATTTTCAATTACTTACAAAAAGGAACCCTCTTTAGAACTCAATAAGTAACAGTGGACTTTGACTCCAACATGGAAATGTGATTACTTTATGAACCTAAATCTATTGCCTAGATTAGATTATCAAACTAGGATGCTAAGTTAGTTTTAACATCACAGTTATATGCTATATCTGTTTATATACTATATGTTGTTGTTGTTGTTAGGTGCCATCAAGTCAGTTCCAACTTGTACTGACCCTATATACAACAGAACTAAACACTGCCTGGTCCTGCACCATCCTCACAATCATCACTATGCTTGAGCCCATCGTCCCTGTGTCTAACTATCTTATTGAGAGAGTCTTTCCTTTTGACACCTGCTCTCTATTTTACCAAGCATGATATCCTTCTCCAGGGACTGGTCCTTTCTGATAATATCACAAAAGTATGGAAGAAGAAGTCCTGCCATTCCTGCTTCTAAGGAACATTCTGGCTGCACTTCTTCTGAGACAGATTTTTTTCTTTCTCTGGCAGTCCATAGTATTTTCAATATTCTTTGCCAACATCACAACTCAAATACATGAATTCTTCTGTGGTCTTTTTCTTCATTATCCAGCTTTCGCATGCATATGAGGCTATTGAAAATATTACGGTTTGGATCAGGTTTATCTTAGCGTTCAGAGGGATGTCTTTACTTTCTAACACTTTAAAGAGCACTTTTGCCGCAGATTTTCCCAATGCACTTCATTGTTTAGTTTCTTGACTGCTTCTTCCATGAGTGTTATATATCCAAACAATTCCCTTTTGGTCTACTTGAAGGTTCCATATGGGTAAAATTAAGTGTTCTGCAACTCTCATTCTTTGCAATCTTATTCATGATAAGAATAAGGTTGTGATCCACACAATCAAGTGCCTTTTCATAGTCAATAAAACACCACTCATCTATCAGGCTTTTTTTTGTACTCTAGTGGTTTGCATGATTTTAAAATCAGGAAATGTGTGCATCATGGTTATATCTTTTCACCATACTTATTAAATCTGTATGCTGAGCAAATAATCCAAGAAGCTGGCCTATATGATAAATAATGAAAAATCAGGATTGTAGGAAGACTCATTAACAATGTAGATATGACACAACTTGCTTGCTAAAAGTGAAGAAGACTTTAAACACCTACTGATGAAAATCAAAGACTATAGCCTTCAGAGTGAGTTACACCTGAACATAAAGAAAACAAATATTCTCACAAATGGACCAATAAGCAATGTCATGTTGAATGGAGAAAAGTTTGAAGTTGTCCAGGATTTCATTTCAGTTGGATCCACAATCGACGCTCATGGAAGCAACAGTCAGTTTTATGATACATGCTTTACCTTATATACATATGCCTTATACATAAAGAAAGTTATGTTTTTAGGGTTTTGGTTTTTTTTTTTTTTTTTTGCCCTCAAGAATCAATTTTCACCATCTTGAGAAAACATCAACCTTTTGGAGAATGCATGTGCTTGACTATGATTGTGAAAGCAAATTTCATTCAACAATGATTTTTGTAAATCATCGTATAGTAAGGACTATACCAAGTCTAAGAGCTCTGGTGTCACATAGGTTAAAGAATTCAATTGCTAACCAAAATGCCATAAGTTTGAACCCACCAGCCACTCCCTTGGAGAAAGTTGAGGCAATCTTCCATAAGGATTTACACCCTTGAAAACACTATGAGAAAGTTCTATTTTGTCCTACAGAATCACTCTGAGTTGGAATTAACTTGATGATTGCCACATCCATCATGGCAGCATAGGTCATGAAACAGAACAACACAAAAAGTTTAAAGGATTTAAGAGAAATGGGGGCCAGGCAGACGCTCTGAGTATTCTGCAAGAGTGACCTCTGATGCATCCGTTCTCCTTTATTTACATATAAACACTTGATTACATCATTATTCTTGGAATTTTCTTAATACAATCAGTACAATCAAGTATTCTCTAAAAAATTAAAATTTTACTCTTTCCCGCACCTGGAGGTAATGGATGATTAGCTTATCAAAAGCTTTTACATGAATGGTAAAAGATTACCAAAATACATTATTTTAAGATATGAGAACCAGTTAATGATTATTAAAGTTTATTATTCTAAGGTATGAGATAATTATTAAGGTGTGTAATTCTAAAGTATAAGATAGTCCATCAAGGTAATCAACATTCTTTATTGGAACAATGTTTTTCCTTAACTGTTTTTCCTTAACACACAAAGTTCTGACAAGCAGGTATTCAATCATAAGAGAGGACTTGCCTTCTCTTAGCTGCTGTTAGAATATATGCCTTGTAAACATGTCCTTTTGGTGGTCTTTTTCTTGGTTTCCAACAGATGGTAATGGGTATACTGAGCCCTGGAAAGCAAATATTTGGAAGGATATTTTTAAGGAGCCCAGAGACAAGACAGAAAAATGAGAAAATCAATATAAAATTCTGTAAGGATAATCTATGGGCCACCAAGGATTATATTGAGGCTCTCCATGATATGGAATTACTATTTGTTTCTATTACTGTGACCTAGTTTTAGCTCCTGTGGTTATGGCATGGGAAATACCAGATATAGCCAAATATTTTAGTTTTATAAATCTTTAGCTTGCATGTTTCTTAGAGAAACTTTTCCAGTAAAGAAATGCATGCTTTCTTTTTATATGTATATGTATAATGTATAATATATAGAGATAATATTCAAAGAAAATTTTTAAAAGTTCATATTTTTTCAAATTGTAGATCTCTATAATAATTATTAGAAATTTTTTTATTCTTAGATGAGCAATTTCAATGAAAATAAAATAATTATAGGACTAATCCATTGAGTTAACCAAGTGGCATTCAATTAGATAGATAGATAAATAGATATCTCCATGTAATAGTCATTCATATTCTTTTGTAGCTTCTGTATGGGAAACCAATCCTGGTACAATTAGGATATTTTCCAACCAAGTTACCGCCACTTTTCTTATAGAATCTGATGAAAGTGACTACCTTGGATTTAATGCAACATATACTGCATTTATCAGCACAGAGCTTAATAGTAAGTGTTGTTTTTTCTTCAGCCTTTGAATTTTCAGATGTTTTGGTATTGTAATGAAATTTTAAATATAGTAGAACATACAATTTTATAACAAAATTATAACTTGTTTCATTATGCACTTCTTAAATCAGCATCTCTTATGTCCATCTCCGTCTACTTGATATTTGGAAAAGAAATAAGAGTACACATTGTTCAAATAAGTTGAATAATGGAGAAAAATTAAAAATCAAATGCATGCTCAATTAATATTTATGTACTACAAGTGTAAAATTAAAAGAAAATTCTTAGAATAAAACAAATTTGAGTATCCTCCACCACTTTTCTATCAGATTGTCATCAGATTATGGTGGCTTGTGTGTTGCTGTGATGCTAGAAGCTATACCACTGGTATTTCAAGTACCAACAGGGTCCCCCATGGTGGATGGATTTCAGCGAAGCTTTGAGACTATGACAGACTCAAAGAAGGAAGGGATCATCCACTTCTCAAAGAATAGGGAAAACCTTATGAATTGCACAAAGACACTGTCTAATATGTTACTGGAAATAAAAAGCTTTTGGGGACCTCTGTTTGCTGATGTGGAACAACTCAAAATAAGAAGAAACATCTGCAAGTATTGATTAATAGAATATAGAATGTATGATGTATGAATTTAGGAAAGCTGAAAGTTGCCAGTAATGAAATCTGACACATAAATATAAATAACCTAGACATTAATGAACTGAAATAGACTGGTTTTGGACATTTTGAATCCGAAAACCATATGATCTACTATATTGAGAATGACAAATTGAAGAGGAGTGTCATAGCATTCACCATCACAAAGAATGGTTGATCTATCCTAAAGTGCAATGCCATCAGTGATAGGAAAATATCCATATACCTACAAGGAAGACCAGTTAATACTACTATTATTCAAATTTACATACCAATCACCAAAGCTAAAGATGAGGAAATTGAAGATTTTGGCCAACTTCTGCAGTCTGAAATTGACCAAATATGAAATCAAAATGTCTTGATTATTACTGGTGATTGGAATTCAAAAGTTGGACACAAAAAAGAATCACCTGCAATTGGAAAATATGGCCTCGGTGATAGAAATAGCACTAGAGTTCACACGATAGAATTTTTCAAGACAAATGACATTCATTGCAAATAACTTTTTTCAACAACATAAATGATGGCTATACCTTTAGACTTAACCAGATGGAATACACAGGAATCAGATCAACTACATCTGTGGAAAGAGGTGATGGAGAAGCTCACTATCTTCAGCCAAAGCAAGGCCAGAAGCTGACTGTGGAACAGACCATTAACTACTGATATGCAAGTTCAAGTTGAAGCTGAAGACAATTAAAAAACAAGTGCACAAGAACCAAAATATGGCTTTGATTATATTCCTCCTGAATTTAGAGACCATCTAAAGAGCAGATTTGATGCATTGAACACCAATGACCGAGACCAGGGGAATTGTGGGATGACATCAAGAACATCATCCATGAAGAGAGCAAAAGTTCATTAAAAGAAAGAAAAGACCAAAATGGATGTCAGAAGAGGCTCTGAAACTTGTCCTTGAATGGAGACTAACTAAAGCAAGGGGAAGAAATAAATGACAAGGTCTAAGAACTGAACAGAAGATTTCAAGGAGCAGCTCAAGAAAACAAAGTTAGTTATTGCCATGAAATTTGCAAGGACCTGGAGTTAGAAAATCAAAAGAGAAGAATATGCTTGGCATTTCTCAAGCTGAAAGAACTGAGGAAAAAAATTCAAGCCTCTAGCTGCAATATTGAAGGATTCTATGGGCAAAATATTGAATGATGCATGAAACATTAAAAGAAGATGGAAGGAATATACAAAGTCAATGTACCAGAAAGAATCAATCACTGTTCATCCATTTCAGGAGGTGGTGTATCATCAAAAACCAATGGTATTGAAGGAAGAAGTCTAAACTGAATTGAAGGAATTGATGAAAAACAAGGCTCCAGGAATTGATGGGATACCCATTGAGATGTTTCAACAAATGGATGCTGTGCTGGAGACACTCACATGGCTATACCAGGAGATTTGGAAGACAGCTACCTGGCCGACTGACTGGAAGAAACCCATATTTGTACCCACTCCAAAATAAAGGATCCCATAGAGTGTGGAAATTATCAAACAATATCATTAATATCACACACAAGTAAAATCTTGCTGATGATAATTCTAAAATAGTTGCAGCTGTATACTGACAGAGAACTTCCAGAACTGCAAACTGCATTCAGAAGAGGACATAGAACAAGGGATATCACCGTGTATGTCAGATGGATCTTGACTGAAAAGAAAGAATGCAAGAAAGATGTTTACTTGTATTTTATTGACTATGCAAAAGCATTTGACTGTGTGGATCATAAAAAGTTATGGATAACATTGAGATAAATTGGAATTCCAGAATGCTTAATTGTGCTCATGATGAACTTGTACAGAGACCAGGAGGCTCTTGTTCAAACAGAACAAGTGGATAACACATGGTTTAAAGTCAGGAAGGGAGTGTTTCAGGGATACATCATTTCACCATATTTATTCAATCTATATGCTGAGCGAATGATCTGAGAAGTTGGACTATAGGAAGAAAGGTGAGGCATCAGAGTTGGAGGAAGGTTGGTTAACAACCTGCAATTGTAGGTGACACAAGTTTGCTTGCTGAAAGTGAAGATGACTTGAAGCACTTACTGATGAAGATTATAGACTATAGTCTGAAGTATGGGTTACATCTCATTAAAGGAAAATTAAAATCCTCACAAATGGAACAATAAGCAGCATCACGATAAGTAAAGAAAAGATTTAAGTTGCTAAAGATTTCATATTACTTGGTTCCACAATAAACACCAATGGAAGCAGCAGTGAAGACATCAGACTATGTACTGCACTGGGCAAATCTGCTGCAAAAGACCTCTTTCAAGTGCTGAAGAGCAAAGATGTCTCTTTGAAGACTAAGGTGCACCTAACCGGAGCCATGGTATTTTCAATCACCTCATATGCATGTGAAAGCTGTACAATGAATAAGGAAGACCAAAGAAGAGTTGATGCTTTTGAGCTGTGGTACTGCAAAGAATACTGAAAGTACCATGGACTGAAAAAAGAACTAGCAAATTCATCCTGGAAGAAGTGCAGGCAGAGTGCTCCTTGGAAGTGAGAATGGCCAGACTTTATCTCACCTACTTTGGTCATGCTGTGAGAAGGGACCATTCCCTGGGGAAGAATATCATGCTTGGTAAAGTGGAGGGTCAATGAGAAAGGAGAAGACTCTCAGTGAGATGGATTGACACAGTGACTGCTAGGATGGGCTTAGGTATAGCGGGGATTGTGAGGCTGGCACAAGAACAGACAGTGATTCATTTTGTTGTAGGTAGGATCATTATGAGTCAGAGCCAACTCAACAGCACCTAAAAACAACAACAACGAGAGCATTCTAAATTAACTTAATTTTAACTAGAATCATGAATTTAGCTAATAGGGAAGAGAAAAATGTGGGACAAAGTTTGCATGGGTAAACCAATGGAAATAAGGTATACAAATTTTGTTCAAGGAACAACATGTGAATGTTTGCCAAAGTCTTGCTAAATTATATAAAACACATGTATCTAGCAGAATTGACTAGAAAAAAAAAAGCTGTTTTTGAACTAAATGAACATTAATAAAGAATAAAGAAGAATATATAAAGAATAATGAATTTCTGCTTGCCCCTTATTTATAAACTCTATAAAATTATTTTCAATGCAAACTATTACAGTTTCTCACATTGTGAACTACATTTCAGTGTTTTATTTCCCATTCTTTTTTAATTCACAGATTTTGAGAAAATTAATTGCAATTTTGAGGATGGTTTTTGTTACTGGATCCAGGATCTAAATGATGATAATGAATGGGAAAGGATTCAAGGAAATTCCTTTCCTCCTTTCACTGGACCAAATTTTGATCACACTTTGAGAAATATTTCAGGTATAATTCATTTTATTTATAAATCAAAAGGCAAGATTGTATGTTGTTCTCCTGCAGTTTAAAATGAGCAGTACTAATACAAGAAAGTCTTTCTATATTATCTTTACTTTAAATAATGAAATAATAAATGTATTTAAAATAAAAGTCAAAGTAAAAATGAGTGTGTTTCAAAAACGTTTATCTTAGCCATTCACAACATGTTAAAAACTATATTGAGGCCATTAAGCACAAGGAGACTTGGATTGTCACCCCAGGTTTGCTGCTCCAAATTTGCCACTTCTTTGCTAAGTAGACATGATTAAGTCATTAACTTTTCTGAACTTTGTTCTCCTTTGCCTTAATTTCATTTTTGGATGGTTGATTGTTCATGTATAGGAAGAAAGTAGAGTTTCATTATTGATCATGTATCCTGCAACTTTGACGAACTCATTTATTAGCTCTAATAGTTTTTAGGCAGTTCTGGTGGTGCAGTGCCTAAGGCATTTGTTAGCCAACCAGAACGTTGGTGGTTCAAACCCAGCAGCTGCTCCATGGAAGGAAGATGGGGCAATCTACTTCAATAAAGAATTACTGTCTCGGAAACCCAGTGAGTGTCACTATAAATCAGAATCTACATCAGAATCAGATGGTAGTGAGCTTTTTATTGTGGTGTTGTTTTGTTTAATAGTTTTATAGTTTCCTTGTTGTTGTTATGTGCCATCGAGTCGGACCCGACTCATAGCGACCCCTCCTTGGGCTTCTAAGGCAGTATCACTATGGAAGTAGGAATGCCCAATTTTCCTTCTGAGGAGTGGCTGGTGGATTTGAACCGCCAGCCTGCTGGTTAGCAGTCAAGTGCCTTAGCCACTATGCTACCAGAGCTCCCATAGTTTCCTTAGGATAATCTATTATAAAATCATGTTACTTTGAGATACCTTTTCTTAGACAATTACAATATTTATGACCTTTTTTTTTTTTTTTTAATTTTTATTGTGATTTGTGTGAAAGCTTACAGAGGAAATTCATCTTCCAGACAGCAGTTCATATACACTTTGTCTCATGACATTGACTGCAATCTCTCATAATGCAACAGCTCTCCTCTCACTTCCTCCCCATAATGACCTCTTCTTCCCTGTGTCCTTCCCTCCCATGTACTCCTGCCCCTAGAGCTGTCTCCCTGTGCATATACAGATCTTCTATTCTCCCATCATTGATCTCTCCAAGGCCTAAATGCTCAGGTTATGTGCCCGTCTTTTGTTTGGCTGGAAACCACAGGAGTGGTTCAATGCCAAACCTAAAGGGCAGCTAAGGGGAATAGTCTCAGGGGTTCCACCAGGCTCTATCAGACCAGTATAATTGGTCCCCCTCTTTTTTTTTTTAATTATTTTTGAGTTTTGTTCCACATTGTTCTCCCACTCTATCTAGCATCTGGGAGTGTGATACCTCCTACTTTGTTGTTCTTCCATAGTGCTTAGCTTATCCAAGGTCTCTGTCCTTTTCATATGAAATTGTTATTGCTGTTGTGCCATCGAGTAGGCCCCAACTCATAGCGACCCCTCATTGGGTTTCCGAGGCAGTATCACTATGGAAGTAGGATTGCCCAACCTTCCTTCCGATTTTTCCATATCTTTAAAGAACCTTGGTGGGATCTGGATTGGGATTGCATTGAATGTACAGATCTTTGGGTAGAATTGACATTTTCACAAAGTTCAATATGCCTATCCATGAGCATGGTATGTTCTTCCATTTAGGTATATCTCTTATGGTTTCTTGACGTAGTCTTTTGTAGTTTTCTTTGTACAGGTCCTTTGTGTCCATGATAAAATTTATTCCCTGTTATTTTATTTATTTTTTTTTTTAGCTATTGTATATGGTACTGATTTCTTTATTTCTTTTTTAGCAGTCTCTTTGCTGATGTAGAGGAATCCAAATGAATTATGTATGGGGATCTTGTATCCTGCCACTATGCTAAATCTCTCAATGAGTTCCAGTATTTATTTATTTATTTATGTATGTATGTATGTATGTATGTATGTATGTATGCTAAGACTCTTGGGTTTTCTATGTATAGGACCATAGCATCAGTAAATAGGGATAGTCTTACTCCTTCCTTACCAATTTGGATGCCATTGATTTCCCTTTCTTGCCTTATGACCTAGGACTTCCCATACAATGTTGAATAGAACTGGTGATATAGGGCATCTTTGTCTGGTTCCTGTTCGCAAGGGTAATGGTTTCAGTCTGTCCATTGAGAAGAATATTGGCTGTTTGTTTTGCATGTATGCCCTTTATTTTGTTGAGGAATGTCACTTCTATTCCTGTTTTGCTGAGAGTTTGATCAGGAATGGGTGTTGGATTTTATCAAATGCTTTTCCTGTATTGATTGATATGATCATGTAGTTCTTTTCCTTTGTTTTATTTAGGTAATGGATGACATTATTGCTTTTCTAATGTTGAACCATCCTTGTATACCTGATATGAATTGCACTTAGTCATAATGTATTACTTTTTTGAAATGTTGTTGGAGTCTATTGGTTAGAATTTTGTTGAAAATTTTTGCATTTATATTCATGAGGGATATTGGTCTGTAGTTTTCCTTTTTTGTGATGTCCTTGCCTGGTTTTGGCATCAAGGTTATGCTCACTTTATAAAATTAATTTGGGAGGATCACAGTCTTTTCTGTGTTCTGGAATAGTTTGAGAAGCATTGCTGTCAGTTCCTTGCTGAACGTTTCACAGAATTCTCCAATGAAACCATCTGGGCCAGGATTTTTTTTTTTGTTGATAATTTTTTATGACCTGTTACATTTCTTGTTTTCTTGAGTCTATTCAACTTTTCCACCTCAATCTGTGTTACTTTAGGTAATAAATATGTTTCTAGAAACCTGCCAATTTCTTCTAGATTTTCAAATTTTTTTGAGTACAGTTCTTCATAGTATTGTGATATTATCCTTTTCATTTCATTTCGTTCTGTTGTGGTGTCACCCATTTTGTTTCTTATTCGTGTTATTTGTATTCTCTCCCTCTTTTACTTTGTTAAATTTGCCAGTTGTTTTTTAATTTTATTAATCTTTTCAAAAAACCAGCTTCTAGTCTTGTTTATTTTTTCTATTGTCTTTCTATTTTCTGTTTCATTGATTACTGCATGAATCTTTATTATTTCCTTTCTTCTGGTGACTGTAAGTTTTTCTTACTGTTCTTTTTTTTTAATTGTTGGAGATGTTTAAGGTATTGATTTTGCATCTTTCTTCTTTTTTGATGTATGCACTTATTGCTATAAATTGGCCTCTGATCACTGCTTTTGTTGTGTCCCAAAGATTTTAGTATGCTGTGTTTTCATTCTGGTTTGAGTCAAAGAACAGTTTTATTTCTTTTTTTTTTTTAATTTCTTCTATTACCTAGTCATTCTTAAGGAGAGTGTTGTTCAGTTTCCATGTGTTTGCTCTTTTTCCATTGGTCTTCCTATTGTTGATTAATAATTTTATTGCACTGTGATCTGAGAAGATGCTTTGCAGTATATCAATGTTTTTAAACTCATTAATATTTGCTTTATGGTCTAACATATGCTCTATCCTGGATGATGTTCCATGTGCACTGGAAAAGAATGTATATTGTGCTGTTGTTTAGTGAAGTGTTCTGTAGATGTATATAAGGTCATATTGGTGGATTTTGTATTGTTTAGTTCTGCATCTTTGTTGAATTTATTTCCAGTTGTTTTATCTTTCATTGAAAGTGATGTTTGAAAGTCCCCTGCTATGGATATGGATTCATTTATTTGTCTTTTCAATTGTTGTGTCATATGGTGGTTTTCATCTTAAAGTCAATTTATCATAAATTAGTATTGCCACCCCTGCTCTTTTATGGTTGCCATCTGCTTCATATATCTTTTTCCAACCTTTGATTTTTAGTCTATTTTTGTCTTTATCTCTAAGGTGTGTCTCTTGTAGACAGCATATTGATGGGTTATATTCTCTTATCCAGTCTGCAACTCTCCATCTCTTGAGTGGTGCATTTAACCCATTGGCATTCTGTGTAATTATAGAATGTATGAATTTGTTGCTGTCATTTTTTTTATGTATTTTTTGTGTTGTTCCTGATTTCTTTGTTCCATATAATTATCTGTGCTGAGCTCATTTTGTTTATCAATCATTTTATAATTTCCTTCATTGCTGTTCTTTTAATATTTGCTAAATATTTGTGCTTGTCCTCTTTTTTATTGTGATGTGAAGGTTTATCATTTTTCTTTGAGGTTACCCCCCTGTGATTTATAATTTTCTCCCCAAGTTTAGAACAGTCCATTCTGTCTTACAACTCTCTAGACTTCATCACCAATTAGATATTCTGTAGTTACACTATTTTTTCTTTCTTTTTGCTTTGTAAACGTCCTCTTTTGTCAATTGATGTATTTGGTTCCCTGTTTACAATCTTGTAGGCTTATTTTATTTTGGATGCTTCCATAACTGGGTTGGGTTCTGGGTTATGTCATCATGTGTACCCATGGTCTGTTGTTGTTTGCTCTTATTGATTCTCTTTCCAAAAGACTTCCTTTAGCATCTCTTGTATGTTTGGTCTGGTTTTAACAAATCCCCTTAATTTCAGCTTATCTGGAAATCTCCTAATTTCACCATCATATTTGAGGGACAATTTTGCTGGGTATATAATTCTTGCTTGGAAATTTTTCTCTTTCAGGGTTTTATATATACCACCCCATTGATTTCTTCCCTGCATGGTTTCTGCTGAGAAATCCTACCCTTTGTAGGTAACTTTTCATTTTTCCTGTGCTGCTTTCAGGATTCTTTCTTTCTCTTTGGTTTTGGTGAGTTTGATGATGAGATGTCTTGGTGATTTTCTTTTGGGGTCTATCTTGTTTATGGTTCACAAGAATTCTTGAATGGATGTATTCTCATCTTTCATTATATCAGGGAAATTTTCTTCCAACAAATCTTGGACAATTTTCTCAGGGGTGTTATTTTTCTCTTTCTTTTCTGAAGTTCTTATTACATGTAGGTTAATCTTTCTGAT